TAGAATGACAGAAACCAACTCAGGGGATCCTTTGAGTTGGAAAAAAACAGGTTTCTGTGCAACATGTTGCCATATGCATTCATCTTGTGCCAATGAAGAGTAAAGAATTTGATGGGGGCAAAATGGCAGAGCAGAGGTTGGGGTTAGTAGAATACCAGCATTTAGATGTCTAGAGGCTTTATATTTACTTTATTTTGATGCCTCTAATAAGTCACTCAAGCATGCAGGCTCCAGTTGCTCTGATCTCTAGCTCCTTTAGTCAAGAAAGGACTCATGAACTGATTTGTGTCTGGTAAGAGATTCATTGCACCCTTTCCTGATCCACATCATGTTTATTAGCATGCCCTATAAAATTATAATTTGCATTCTCGATCCAATCCCACCAGCAGGGCTGAAAGATATGACTGTTAATTAAAAGCGTATGCTCAGTACAGTGGGTCTGCAGCTTTGTTCTGATAAGGAAACAAGGGCAGGCTTGTTTCCTTGTCCAGACCTCGTGTTGAAAGGCACACATTACACGTACCTTGGTGGAAAAGTTCTTGTCAGTCAGTCGGACTAGCTGTGGTTTTTTTTTTTCTTTTCTGTTTCTAGTATGTTCCTGAAAACCAGCCTGTTAGGTTAGTCTGTGCTCCACACACTGTTTGAGAACAGAGAATATTTTGGGCAGCTAATGGCGGCACAGCATAGTAATTCAGAAGTTAGGATTTGAAATCATATCACCTGGCTTCCACCTAATGTCTTTCCGGTATCTATGTTCAAAAAGAGTAGCTCTTTGACCTTGAGATGATGCTTCCCCTCTCTGTGACTTAGGTCCTTATCTATCAAAAGGCACAACAGCAGCATTTATTGTATAAGACTCTCTAAGGATTAAAGAAAACAGTATAAACTAATCCACATGCTTTTAAAATATGAATTAATAGGAATATTTCCCTTTATTTTCTATTTCTTCAGGGTTTTTGTTTTTTTTACTAAGTTTCTTGGAAATCCAGTGTTAAAAGTTTGGTTTAATGGCCTCCCAATGACAGACTATATATTATTCATTTTACATGTCTTAATACAGCGTATAGAAGGCTATTTTATAGGATGTTGGATGTAGTCACAGGATAGATTAAACTCTTGTTTTCGTGTGTAAGTATTCTTTAATCTTGTGTGGCTTGATTTGGTTCAAGATGCTACCAAGGTTTTAAACTTTGTATTATAATTTCAGTAGGTCATAGTATTGTTTCAGCCTGCTCTAACAAGAAGGAACACTCCACACATAGCACTTTCTAGTGCATACTCAGCATCAGAAGCAGCCACTTAACACACTAGCTGTAATTTTACCCATGTCTCTTCCACTTTAGTGTGTATATTATTAAGCAAAGGATGAAGAGTGACCAATCATAGGGTTATTATCCATCTACTGTAAATTAATTATCTACTGTGATTAGTGTTATGCTACGTGGTGATTAGATCAAACATCTTCAAAGAAGCCTTCAAAGCCGACATTTTTTATCCCTCACCACTTTCTACCCATGTACTCATCATTAATGATCCTACCTAAGAAACTCTATGCCCTAAGTTCCCCAGGCAAGAATTGACAGGTCGGGTTATATGAAACTAAAAAGCTTCCACACAACAAAGGAAACCATTAACAGAATGAAGAGACAGGCTACAGAATGAGAGAAAATCTTTAACAGCAATACTTCAGACAGGGGACTGACACCTAGAATAATAAAGAACTGCTAAAATATTTCCAATCAATAATTGAGGCAAGGAACTAAACGGAATGTTCTCTGAAAAGGAAATACAAAGCTAGGGGTGTAGCTCGGTTGGCAGAGTGCTTGTTGAGTTGGCATGATACCCCGAGTTCGACTCTCGGTACTGCAGAAACAAACAAACAAACCCTGGCTATGTTGGCATACCTAAGTTTGGGAGGATCAGAAATTAAAAGTCATCCTTGACCACATAACGAATTTGAGGCTATCCTGGGATACATTAGACTCTATCTCAAAGAAGAAACAGCAGGAGGAGAAGGAAGAAGAAAGAAGGGGAGCAAGTAGAGGAGGAGCAAGGGAAGGAGGAGGAAGAGGAGAAGGAGGAGGAGGAGAGGGAGGAGGAGGAGAGGGAGGAGGAGGAGAGGGAGGAGGAGGAGAGGGAGGAGGAAGAAGAGAAGGAGGAGGGGGGGAGGAGGAAGAGGCGGCGGCTGAAGTAGCTGCACCAGCACAATCAGCCAATAAATGTTTTCCAAGGTCTTCGACACCCTAGCAATCTGGGAAACACAAAGTAATACAGCTTTGAGATTCCATCTTACCACTGTCAGAATGGTCAACATCAAGGAAACTAACAAGGGCTGGTAAGGATATGGGGAAAGAAAAATCCCTTTTCACTGCTGGTGGATATATAAACAATCTGCAGAAATCAGTACAGAGATTTCTCAAAAACAACCAAAAAAGAATAGAATTGCCATATGACTCACCTATACCACTCATGTATATACACCCAAAGAATTTTAAGTCCTACCAGAGTGATACTTGCACATCCATATTCATTGTTGCTTTATTCACAATAGCTAAGATGTCTATGAACAGACAAGTGGATAAGAAACTGCAGTATTTATATAAAAACAAAATCAGAACAGTTACAGCAAAATGGATGGAACTGGAAGGAATTCTATCAACCAAGGGCTGCGGACATAGGAAGACAAAGATTACATTTCTCTCACCTGCAGATCCTAGATTTTAATTCTTGTATATTTATAAATGTTGGTAGGGACTACAAATTATAAAACTAGGGATGGGACTGTTGGGGGTGATCTTAGGAGAGGATTGGGGAGGGGAGAAAAAGATCGAAGACAAAGGGTGTTGGGGGAGGGGAGATCAGAGAGAGAGGGAGAGAGAGGGAGGAGCAGAGTCGGGGAGGGAGGGCCAAGAAAAACAAAGTGTGTGTGATCATGTCATCATGGAGCCTATATCTCTATATCCTAATTTTAAAACATTATTTTTACAAATCTTGGAGTTTATTAGAATTCTTCTTTATTTTTTTTATTTTCTTCAGTTGTTTGTGGTTGGCTATTTATTATTTCTTTTATAGCATTGAGGGCTGGGCCCAGGACCTTGCCCAGGCTAAGTGAGTGATCTACCATATACCCCACATTCTCAACCCAGCTGATATTAAAAAAAAAAAAAACCTGATATACTCATATAGTCAGTCACCATTATGCTTTGTCCTGAGTGTCTTTTAACCCTTCTGTCTCATAATCCTCTGAATGGCATTACCTGGCTGTAGGAAGAGGAAACTTAGAAAAGTCATTAGTCAGATGAAGGCAGAAGAGGTAAAATGAGCAAGCAGTAATTACAATGCAATGAGATCAAAGTCATCAATGAGCTGTATCCCCAGGGAAGGAAAGCAGCAAGGCCTCGCAAAGCAAGTGGTCAAGGAGCCAAATGTTGAAAAAAAAAATGAATAGGACTCAGACTGGAAGAGGCCTGATGCACATTCTGCAAATGATAACCCAGTAAAGGAATATGAGAAAAGAAGACCACCATTCTCTGCTGAAATATAAATAGCTCTAAAAGTCAAGAACACTGGCTTCATGGAGGAATGCCGTGGGGCTGGGGAAGAAGGAGTTATTAGGGGCCATTGGTTAGTTAGGGGCCATTGGAGGGGGAACATTCAGAACTTCATTTCAGTTGCCATATGACCCTTGGAAAGCCACATGCCCCAAAGCAATGCCATTTCGTTTTTCTCATAACTCTCCTCCTTGGGCAGCAGTCTCTAGGGATTCCTCATTTCTTCTCCTTTGTATAGGTTGGCTTAGTATGTTGGAGGCAGGAGACTCCCAAACCCTCATTCTATTCGGCACAGAGGCTGCCTGGATTTCTCTCTTTATTTCCCAGGTGTCCCTGAGTATTCAGTAGGACACCTCAGGCTCCTTACTGGGGAGCTGTTTCCTAAGAGGAAAACATGAATTGCTGCAAAACTTCTCAAAGGTTAGGTCCAGAAGGCTCATGGCCTTCATCTTCTCTGTACTCTAGTGGTCAAAGCAAGGCAATATCAACCTAGCTGCCAAAAAAGAGGAGAAATAGACTCAATCTCTACACAGAAAAAATAAAAGAAGAACTTGTGTTTTCCATAAGTCTTTGTGTTTGCCTTCTATTTCCAGAGGCTTTCCCTGGGTCAGAGCAGGTGTGTGTGTGTGTGTGTGTGTGTGTGTGTGTGTGTGTGTGTGTGTGTGTGTCTACAAAGCTTGTGTGGGCATTTCATTTCCATAACTGAACACTCTGACCCTTGCCTCCAGTCCCTACTTCAGTAGTCTACAAGAGCGTTGCCTATGAAAATATTTGCATAATTATTATGCTTCTGCAGTCCTGAATCTATTTCAGGAATAATAGTTTTAATATACAGGCAAGTGCAACTTGAGAAGCAAAGAATAAAGACCCAATACGTACTAATGGTTCTTAGATCAGAGTTCTGGAGTCTAGGAGGACACGAGAGATGGTCCTTCTGGATTTCCAGAGGCTCGTATAGCCATTTCATCCAAGTTTCTAGACCCAGGAGTTTGATCTGTAAAGCAAAACATCTCCCTTTGTTGCTTTATTGTACACGCAGATGATGTTGGAATATACTTCCTGTTTGTCATGGTTGAGCATGCTCCCAGCATCACTAATGCACAGTACTGAGGTAATCATCAAGATGATAGTCCTCCCACAACAGCCTCTGGAGTGCAATGATTGGAAGGCAGCAAGGTTCCCATCAAGAGACTCGATCTCATGACCTGGTTTTGCTTTATCCTCATTATGTGTTCTGTGACAGATTAACTAACCATGTTAAGCATTCATTTCCGTCCCTAGAAAGCCTCAGTAATAACTGTACAGTCCCCCAGCATCACTTCAATGGGTTACAATAGAGAGTAGTCACTGCCCTTCACTCAGTGCCTGCTATGAATTATCAATGAAATTAACTGCTGTTGTTTTCACGGACTTCCTGTTGACACTCCTGTGTTTCTCTTTATTTCTCAGGGAGATGTTAATCTCTGTGGCTTTAGGCCAAGTGTTATCCCTTCTGGTCTGTGGAATCGGCTTGACCAGCAAGTACCTGGCAGAAGATTTTCATGCCAACACACCAGTCTTCCAGAGCTTTCTGAACTATATCCTCCTCTTCTTGGTCTATACCACCACCCTAGCTGTCAGACAAGGTAAGCTGTCCAAAGCCCGGGAATATGACATTTACAAACACATAGAAGAATATGCACCATGCCCAGATATCATGTTATCACTAGTGGCATCAGTGAGATGATTCAAATCCCCAAATCTCATTTTGTTATTTTGCAGTAACACTACAAAGAAAATGAATGAATATATCACAAAGAAATATACATTGTGTGAATTCAGCAAGAAGTAGGAGATATATGCATTGGAGAAAAGTACAATTGCTCACAATTTGAATTCCTTTTAAGGTTTTTGTTTCTCTCAATGAATCTAAATAGAGTACCTCCTGATACCTGAAACAGGCCCAGTGTGACTCTCCTAAAGATGCTGGTCCTGAACTGTCTAAGGGAGCTGCAGACCAATATATGTTCTTGAGGAAAGTGACACATATATAAATATACACAACTCGAGCAACAATGCAAGAGGAATAAAGGAAAAGGAAACTCCCACAAATGGCCAAGTGTGGTCCTATTTTAAATTAAAAATAAATAAAGCAATAAGAACAAATTTTCCAAGGGTCAATGTAAGAAAATGCCTTTAAGAGTAGGTCCAATAAAAATCACTTGGGAGGGGGCATATCCTAGAGGTCTTTCAGCGCCTTGTGACTACACTATCAAATTTGATATAATCCTTTTATCTATGGCCCTAGAAAAAAAACCAAAAATTTCCCCCTAAATTGTAGCTGTTGACCAGGATCTATTAATCCAGTAATCATTAATAGGTTTGGAAACAATCGTATCCTTTAATAACAAACAAGAACATGTATATTGCTAAATATATGTTTTAATAATTATACTTTTTTAAAACTTTTATAAAAACCATCAATATTTCATTCTCACATGTCCTTATTTGGATTTCTGTCTAGAATAGAACTGCCCAGTTACAACGATTTAGCCAATAGTAGACTTCATCTTAGAAGAGAATAGATCAAAGGTGGCTGGCATTGTGGGGAGGCAGTTGTAACTTAATTGCCAAAGGGTCTGCTTTGCAAGTATGGGAGCCTAAGTTCAGATCCCCAGAACCTACCTAAAATTCTGGGCACAGCAGCATGCATCTGAATATCACCACTGGGGAGGCAGAGACAGGCAAATCCCTGGAGCTCACTGGCCATCTGGCTGAGCAGAACTGACAAACTTCAGATATGGCACAACACTCTATCTCATAAATCAAGTTGGAGAATAATTGAGCAGGGCACCTGCTGTCAGTCTCTGGGATTTACATGAATACACACATACACACACACACATATACCTATATATATGTGTGTGTGTGAACACACCCATGCAAGCACATATAAACCCCTCTACACACACGTATGCCTACCTATATATATGTGTGAACACACCCACACAAGCACATACATAATACACACACACACACACACACACACACACACACACACACACACAGGAAATTACCACACTAGTACTGAATTGATTTTTCGATTTGTTGAAAATACATTAGAACCCAATTTAATTTGCTTTCCCTAAGTTGATGTTATGGGAGTTTTTTTGTTTTTGTTTTTGTTTTTTGCCTTAATATCAATAGCTGTAATTAGTTTTAAGAATAAACTGTCAGCCTACAAAAGTTACAGACAATAAAGCTCAGCTATGTTTCCTCGGTGTGAGTTGGAAGCCGATGAATTTGAATGATATAAGTGTGTTGTCCAACAGTTATCCCACTGTTTCTTGAATGGTGCTTCAAGCCAGGAAAAGACTCCAGGAAGTGAGGCAGTGGGGGAGGCATACAATTAGTAACTCATTTCTGAGACACTGTGGGAATGTATCAAAAAAGGAGAGATAAGGGATGAATGTAAAAAATTCGTTTGATGTGAGCTTGAAACAACATTAAAAAGAATAGTATTATTTAACACAGTATAAAGAGTATAATTAAGAATAATGGGATTAAATTGGGAACAATTTTGCAATACTGAAAAAAATTTTCATGTGAAAATAGTGAATTCATCTTTTGTGATCTTTAAGCACCACTGGATTTTGAGATCTCAAATTGTTTCTCCTCTTTGGGTTCTTGTCTCTATTGTTTCCTAAGAGTCCAGAGATTTAGTAAGAGTCTGTATCTAGGGAAAATAAGCATATTAAAAATCAGAAAGAATGATTATAACAGTTACAGGTAGAAGCTAGAAAACTGAATGTATGAAAAGACTCGTGTTAATAATACTAATAACACCATTTCCAGAACCTTTATAATGTGCAAGCTACAGTGTATGTGACATCCCTTCTTACTCCTTCAACCCAAGGAAAAATAAGTATCATCCAAAATTTTACAAGTGAGACAACCAAGAATGCTGCTCGAGGATGTGTGCTAAGAAGAGGGAGAAGCTGGGCTGGGTTGGGGGGGTGTTGCCTAGAGGGCCCCTGCTTCTTCTTGTGAAGTTCAGAGGAGGCTGCAGGAGAGATGGGAGACCCTTTAGAATAAAAGGAGACATGCACGTTTCTTGAATTTGAAAATCCTGAACAGGAAGCTAGCCTGGGGTGTAAGGTGCTGTGAGACCAGAGATGAGGTCAGCAGAGACTCTGACAGACGAAGGGAGGAACATCCGTGTGGACAAGGCAGAGGAGCAAAGAGGCGAAGACCGGGCAGGAACTTGGAGGCCCTTTAGAGGGAAAGACTAAAGTTTGAAAGATCAAATTTAAAGTAGATCAATCCCCAAAAGATGTAGAGGGAGCAGGTTCCAGTGCCGAGGAAGTCCTGTCTGCCTAGTCAGTGGAGGAGAGAGTCAGTTCCCACAATGCAGCGCTCTTCCTGGAGATCTTTACCATCGCCCTGGCTGACCACTGAACTTGTGCGTGGGCCTGTGTCTGTATGTGGTGTTTATTCACGATGTGTGTTTTAAGTTTCATCTTTACAGTTTTAATAGGCTGGTGTTAAGCTAACATCTGGAAATCAACATAGTAATTGCGTTATGTTTGAATAAGCTGAGTCACTTTGGTGTTCTGGAAATACAACCTTTGTGTTCAGGAACTTCAAGATTAGGAGGGCGTGAGCTAGAGAAGAGATGGGAATTCTGTACGTAAGGGAGTCTTTTACAGCTAATCTCTCCTTTCTCAGTGTTCCTCACAGTCTGCAGGTTGAATCAAGCGCTGACCTTACCATCTCTCCTAGCATAAATGCCACCTACCTAGTTGGGCCTCCATATTAATGGTATGTGTATGCCTTGGACCACTTGACAGTAAGCAGTTTCCTGGCTGTGTTTTATTTATTTTTTAAACAGATTTCAGTCATTGTACTCATATAGCTTCTAAAACTTATGAGTGTCAAATTTGAAACCCTCTGAGAATATTTAAGTGTGATGTTAGTGTAAGTAACCTTGCCAAAAATCTGACTTCAAGGTTAGGGTAAATTCTCCCTATCAAATTTACATTAGATCAATCCCCAAAAGATGTAGAGGGAGCAGGTTCCAGTATGGTTGTGAACTTGCCCTTGGGTATTAACTAATTCCTGGAAAATGAGGATGGTGTTGTCTTTTAAAATAGTGTATCCTGCTGAACAAATTCTCAGTGTGGCCTAAAAGGCTGAAGCTGTGCTTTCTTCCAACTGGTTCTGAAATTAGGAAGATACCTACTGTTCCCAGCAAAGTCCTTCAGTGATGGCATTCCACAGAAGAAGTGTAGTTCAAAGCTGTCGTTTGCACAGACGTGTCCAGTTGGGGAATTAAAGTAAAATTGAGCCCGTTGTTACTTTAACCACACTAAGAGGTATCTGGGAAGTGGAAAGTTCCCAAAAAGAAACTCGAAAGCAAGGCCCTTAGGACTGTAACTAAGAAAGTAAGTGAAGCTTCAAGCCTGATGGTCTGCCCAAGAAATACACAAAGACTCTCCTTCATCTCTACATCCTTCGTCTATTAAAAAAAAATCATGTAACGCTAGATGAAATTCAAAGTCCAAGAGACACAAAAGTGCAAATGCCATGCAACAAGGGGGACGGGCTGGAGGTCACTGAAGACTGAATTCTTGCTTTTTGTCGTACAGAAGCAAGAAATACGACCAGCTTCTAAAATTAAAAGTGACGTGGGATACATTTCTTACCAAGAAAATAGTTATCATCATGTTTTGCCCATAATCATTTCTTACTGATTGTAATTATTTGCCAAAACTACTTTCTGTTGTTTCCTACATAACAGACGAAGTCAATCTATTTACTACCACTTTTCTATATTTGTATCCAATTAAGGCGAATAAAGAAAGTGGAGTAAAGATGGGCTGCTTAGGGAGAAACGAACGCGTGTTCAGAGCTTGTGGTCTTTCTTCGGTCATGGTGTGGAAAAGGACATGGAAGTATGAGCGGAACCAGATGTATCAGCCACTGTGTAGACCCTGGAGTATGCCTAGTGACAGGTCTTACAAGGGTTGCTTTTTCATTGAAAAGCATTTCTTTAAGCTCTTCCAATTTTGAATAAAAAACACTTTTCCAGCTAAAGCTGGAACATCTCATGCTTGATGATAGACTTTCACATATTTTATGTCTTGCTTTGTGATAGTGAAATAAGTCTCTAATAGTAAAATATAACACTCATAAGCAAGTCTTAAAAGATCCATGTAGTTAGAAAAAATGATAAGAGGGTCATATTTTAAAAAAAAAAAAATAGGGTTCTTGGCCATAAGGAAGTCTTAGCAACTTGAGTGTCTGCATCTTGAAATACATTAGACTATGATGTTCTCTCTCTCTCTCTCTCTCTCTCTCTCTCTCTCTCTCTCTCTCTCTCTCTCTCTCTCTCTCTCTCTCTTTCTCTCTCTTTCTCGGGCCCTGGCACTACTCTACATTTACCATAGGTGGTCAAAATCCCAACTCAAAGCAGTAAAATTAATTAAAGCAAAACCCAGGGTTTCCTCAGAACAGAAGACTCCCAATTCCTTACTGAACCACTGAAGAGACGGGACTGCGAGTGGCTTGGCAGGGTAAGAGAGCACTTGGCAAATGTAAATATGGAATCACATGTCCCCTGGGAGTCATAGGGAAACTAGCACCA